ATTTTTGGCAGCTCAGTTTTCAGTCAAAGTAACTCCCTATTATAACTCACTTATAGATCCACAAACAGTAATGGTGGTGTGAGCAAGTCAGTATGAATGAATAGCCCATGCTGTACAACAGCGGAGAACTCATTTTTTTAGCATCGGTAGTTAGTTATCCTTCTTAAGTTGATCATGGTCCGGTGGCTTTAATTAAACTAGTGCAGATCACTATGCAGATTACTTCACTTTCCTCCTTCTTATATCCTCAGATCAATTAGTGACATATTCAAACTCAAGAAGCCATTCTTGATATGGTGTTAAAAAGAATGCTTCTCAGGGCATTTATGCTGCCTACTGAAACCAGAGGAAGATCTTGTGCCCAGGTCTCCATTATACTATGAGGCAAACATACCAAACCATACACAATCCCACAAAATATCCCTTATGGTGATAAGAGCTGGTCTGACCAGCTCATGTTGAAAAAGTTTTCAGAGTGCACACAAATTATTCATTTGAGCTATGTTAAGTTTTACACAGCTTTAAAAATCAACAGTTCCTAGGTAGCTATCAGAGGACCAACAAAAAAAAAAAAAAAAAAAACGAACAAGTAAGAATATAAGCCTCCAGCTGGCTCCTATTACATCTTTCCAGCCAGCATCCTCACCATGTGATTATTTAAGTGCACTCTGAGCATTCCCAAGCTAGACTGCCTCGACTTTTCACTTCTTCAGGGAATTATGAGTCACCCAATCAGGCCGCCAGCTTTACTTCACAGATGTCTCTATTCCCAAGACTTCAGTAAATGCCTGGGGAGACAACTGCTTTCCACTTCTTTCCATAATACTCTACGTAACCGACTTAAAAGTGCCCAATCTTGTCAGAGATCTGGTTCTAGCCCTAAACTGGAGTTTTGCAAATCAAAGGTTTCTGATCAACAGATGCTTTGGCTGCACTAGCCTTCACTGAATTCTGCATACAGTTTGAAGCCAAAAAAACCAACAGAGTAACTTGCCATGCCAGTGAGTTATGTCAAGCAGGTATTACTTTTATTACAGTTAATGGGGATCACTCCAGCTACGTGCACACTAAGAGAAGCAGCAACTACATATTTAAAGGCATAACGTATACATATTCATTATATTCCAAGGACATGGGCAGAAATTCCAAAAATACTTAACATCTCTTGTGGTCATGGGATGAAGGATGAAGTCATACTCATTCTAAATTTCCAAACTTTTAGGGGGGGAGGATAATCCAAACCGGTTCCCACTGATGTTACATTGAGCTGAGGCATCTGTTTTGCCATCTTATCTTCAACAGGTCATCTATTTTACTTTCTTATCTTCACTTGACAAGTTTCGCTGCCTCTGAATTCCATTCTTGAGCTTACCTTTACACAAGCCTTCTGTCCTTCAGCTTGTATCCATTTAAGTCATGCAAAAGGTTGTTCTCACAATATGGAAAAGCTATTTTTATGATTCAGTTCTTTGTAGTACATCTCCCAGGAAGCAAGGGAAACCAAAGTTTTTCTCATTTTTGCTGCTACTTTTTTTTTCTTTTTCTTTTTTAAAATACTGTACTACTCCTAGTCTTCAGGAATTTATTGATCCTGAAGCTCTCAGAGATATTGAGTATCATACACTTGAAACTAGGTACTAACACAGCAAAAAACAGCATTGATTCTCCACACTTCATCTTTCAGAATACTCTTCCGTTTACACATTAGGAAATGAAGCCAGACTGCAGACCTACAATTTCCCAGATCGGCACAAGAGATTGCATGTACTAACAAAGTAACACCATGTTTTAAAAGAAGATAGCGATAAAAATCTGAACAAAGAAAACATCTGATTTGTTTGTTGGTACATAATTCATACTGTGAATTTCTTTACAGTGCAGCTTCTTACAGATATATTGCCAGAGGTAAGCTGATTTTCACCATACTCTGGGAGGCACTGGACATGCAAGGTTGTTAAACCACTCATAACCTTCACAATTGTGAAGGAACAGTTGTGATCAAGACTTAAGGAGTTCTTCTATCCTAGTTGTTAGACACATGTTAACAGCAGAATAACTGAGTGGCACCTGTTAGAGATCATCCAGAGGAGTGCCACAGAAATGACACAAGGAATGAAATACCTTCCCTGTGAAGATAGGTTGAGACAGCTGCAGATGTTCAGACCAGAGAAGAGAAGGCTCCATGGATATCTGATAGTTGCTTCTCAGTATCTAAAAAAGGACTATCAGAAGGAAGGGGACAGACACTTCAGTGAGTCTGTTGTGATAGGACAAGGGAAAATGGTTTCAGCTAAAAAGCAGGAGGTTTAGATTGGATATAATGAGGAAGTTTTTTACAGTCAGAATGGTGAGGCATTGGCACAGGTTGCCCAGAGATGTGGTGGAAGCCCTGTTCTTGGAGACATTCAAGGTCAACCTTGGATCAGGCTCTGAGCAACCTGATCTAGCTTTAGATGTCTCTGTTCATTTTGGGAAGTTGGACTAGATGACCTTTAAGGATCCCTTCCAACTCAAACAATTCTATGATTCCAAGTTTTTCTTCTGCCCTTAACCATATAGACCCCTTGACCTCCTGTAAGATTTAACAGTACTGTACAGTATGTGTACTAACAATACACCTAATACTTAACCACCTGTTATGTACATAGAGCTCAACCAAAATGCTGCGACCAGCTCTTTGATTTGCTCCACTCTTATCTTCATTGTGGTTCATAAAGTGGATGTGTAGTTCTTACTACAGATTCTCTCAAATCCCTGGACAGAAGCAATTTCTTTCTCGCAGATTCTGTTAACAAACAGCAGTGCTTTTCTACACTGACACAACAACATCATCTCCATAATACAGCAAGGCAACAGCAGCATCTGAGCAATTTATATTGTCCTCGTTTGTTGTTTCATGTGTACCTTTTCACTGAGATTTCAGGGAGGAGGAAGAAGGAAACAAGATATCACAGTGATAAATGTTTACCAACTACTTTATAGTTCCCCGGGTTGTTAGCTCTTGCACTTACAGAGTTGACTTCTGATCCCAAACAAATGGTACAAGGTGTTAAAAATGATCAATATTTTTTTACAACCATCTCCATTTTGAAAGTTATCTCCAGTGTGGTGTTGGGAATCTGACACCCTGGAAAATAACTATGCTGATACTGCATTTACTAAAAGCAAATAAACAAAAACCAAGGTGTATGATATTCTTGTTTTCTTATCTGTATTTATTTTTCCCCTCCTTCAATCTATGGGGAGGGGAAAACCAGCAAACTAGATCCTAGGTGACAGCACTTCAGCAGCTGATACTGTAACTTAAAAAGGTACTACCAGTTAGAGAAAGTAAAAAATGAGTATTTGTTCCTAATTTAATAATAATTAAAATAATAATAATAATTTTAAAAAACAGTAAACAAATGTAATGTAAGTACAGGTGTTCTATTTTAACTCAAAAGTCTAATGCACACAGCTGAAGAAAAGGCTTGAACTCAAACTAAAATATAAGTTGTTTGAATTGGAAATATTTTACTTCAGGAAACATTTTCATGTGCTGATAAACTCCAGACATATATATATATTATGAATATGCACAGAAATTATATGTATCTTCCACTTACTGTGAAACATCCTAATTAAGAACAGCATCTGCACTCACAGCAGTAAATGTGATGGCTTCCATGCGAATACTAAGGAGTTAACTTACATCCGCAAGAGAACAGTTGAGGTTAGATCAATTGGAGTCAACAGTGTTACTGGTGCTGTGAATGCTGTTCCCAGAACAGAGCACTCTTCCCTGCAAATGGCAAGCACTCCCTATGGAAAGAGCCATTTCATGTCTCCAGACATGCAGATATATTCTCTCATTGGATATCAGCATCCCCACAGGGGACACAAGATAACATGCCCTCAGAGCACTCTGAGTTCACTTCAGTGATAAGCGAGTTGAATAAATTAGAAATATTCCCTCACAAATTAAACTGGCCTTTTTACCTCATTGGACAGGGAGTGTTTGCTGCTTCCAAACCACTTGCCTAATGAGGACAAAGCTGCCAACCTTCAGGCATGATGTCTTGCAGATTGCAAGAGTTTGGCAATATTTTTAGCCAGTACAGTCAGTTCTTCATGAGGGCCTGGCTCATATATCTGATGTGGGTAAGCCATGCTACTGTCTCTGTTATCTTGATTTGTGTTGTTTAATGAAAGTAGCCCTCTTCTACATGCCCTCAAAAACAAAACCTGCCTGCATTGCTGCAGTTTCCTCTTACAGCTTAGGTAAGAACAATATGCACTGCAGGATATTTTGGAGAAAATATGGCCAAAAGCCATTTAACCACTGTCAAAGCTGCAGGTGTTCTTGTCAATGTTGCTGAGGCATTGTAAAGTTGTGAGCATTCCTAGACCCCTTTAGTGTACATTGATAAATAAAATGTCAGATCATTTTGCATGGACTAGGAATGCTCTCTAATGGATTTGTCATTGCAAGCAGTTTCAAAGACTGTCTTCAGAATTTATGAATGGCTGTTGTGAAATAACAGACATCTATCAAGAATTTTGTGCAATATTCTGCTGACAGCAATCTTGTGCAGGCTCTCCCTCTCTAAAGCCCTCTCTCAAAAAGGCAAAATTTTATAAAACTAGAGCCCCCTGTAGGGACCCATGGCAGAGACAAGATTCTACAGTTCACCATATACTTACAACAGTTCTGCAGAATTTTTTTCTTTCCTAAGCAGTATGTGATGTCAGTGTATACACACTTCCCC